AAATGTTATGGAGATTTTTCTTCCCTGTGTGTGCCCCCTGGTGTGACAGTCTGTTTATCCCCTTCTCCGTGCCTGACCCTCTCCCATCACAGAGGGCTATAGTATTTAGCTCCCCACGAGTCTCTACCCTTCTTACACTCTTTGATGTGGCCTCTTCTCTACTTTTAGTTGTGGAGTTTGTTCTGCCAGTCTTCAGGTAATTTTCTAAGTTGTTTATACTGATGTGAGTGTTAACTAGTTGTATCCATGGGATAAGGTGGGCTTAGGGTCCTCTTACTCTGCCATTTTCCCAGGCTCCCCTGGAACACTTACTTTTAATAGCTTTCATTTATGAATAAGCTTAAAATCTTTAACACCTTTTGACATAGCACCTACTTATATTTTATAAAATATACATAATTATTGCTGGTTATCTTAGTCTGAGTTCCCTTAAAAGAGAGTGTGATATAATAGTTTCTGCATGAATAGTTCATTTGGCAAATGGTTCTAGTGAGTCAGAGTGAGGAAAATAAGTGGTGAAACAAAGAAGGTGGAAAAGTCAAACAAAGATGTGTTATGAAATTTCACACCACTACAGGCAAGTGGAGGTGATCCTATGGGTCCAAAGTTGGTATTCATTTTTATGAGGACAATTAACTGCCACTACCTATTCTAAGATAGAATGAGTGCAGTGTATTTAACATGGAATGAGGTAGCTGACTAAATGATATCTTTGAAGGAAGGTGCAGAATTGAGGGCTCAGAATCAGAGGTTTCTCTTGGGGAATTATACATTCAGCAGTGGCAGTAACGTAATTACCCTTGGAGTCAGATCCAATGTTACTGAGCTTAAGCTCAGTTTCCATCCCTGCCATCATGAAAATTCATCATACCCTGTGCCAAAACTAAGATGATTGAGGACAGAAGCTGTTTCACATCCACAGCGTGAGCCATCAGAACCACTTGGGTCAGTGTCTTCTGTACAGTCAGTTGCTTGGATGACCATTAATACAAGGCACAGAGATGCATAAGCTTTGTTTCCATTCCCACAGTCCATCTACATGCCTTTTATTTAAACTTTCTTATCTTCAATTTCCAACTCTTCTCCTTCCAAGACCTTGACATAGCAAATCATTCTTCACAGTTCAGGACATCACCTCAAGATACTACTCCTTCCATTAAAAGTGGAAGATCTTGTGTAATGCTCACAGCTCTGCCAACTGGAACATTTTCCCCTTCAACATTATTCTTTGGGGCTATTCCAACTGATGCTGAAATATGGTGGCAGTTCATTTACAACTATCATCAATATTTAATGTGCCGACATATCTGTACACTATGCTTGGTAATTTCCTCTTCCATTGGCTGGCCATAGATCACCTTATAACTCATGAGGGACATCATTGCAACTATAGTCAATAACATCTTGGTTTGTTAAATCTTCTGATTTATTGGTGCCTTCTCGGGTTGGATCCTGAATGTAGTATTTCCAACATAGGGTGGACTGCTCTTAAACCTGCCAAACTTTATCAAACTGTTTGATACAGTTTATGGTGGGAAGCTCCTGTATATGTCATTTGTTGTCTCTTGGCTAGGCACCCTATAGTTACTAAGCCTTTAATAGCATACAATGAGATTTTTTTTTAACATATAACAAGTAATTTACTGATATAGTGTATATGATTTTTGTTCAGAACCTCAGAATTCCGTGTTGGAGCTCCCATATTATGGCTTAGAAGACTAGAGAGTACATCCTTATCCACATAGATACTGTTAGCACTAGCAGATATGCTAAGTCATATGGCTTCAGTAGTGGGACAACTTGCACTGTATATCTGAAAACTTGGTGGGGGATCATGATATTCCACCACAGCTGCTAACATCAGACTTTGGCTTGCCAAGTCTCGTGTTTTTCTTTTTGTACAAAGGACATAATACCCCAGACAGCTGTCCATACATTTAGCTTTGGAATACTATCTGCAAGGCATTGCCACAGATTTCTGCCCGTCAAAATAGCCTCACTCCACTCTGACCTTGTTTTCCATTATGGTAATGATGCCCAACTTGTCCCTAAAGCTTTGTGCCACCACCTGGGCCCTGTCATTCCAGAATCTTATCATCTTTATTGCAACATAGTTTACTTCTAATCTTGGTTGGCAGAGGATAGCCAACACTGACCTTCTAAAAAAATGTGTTTCTCCAGGGTGCCTGGGTGGCTCAGTCAGTTAAGCATCTTGATTTCAGCTCAGGTCATGGTCTCAGGGTTGTGAGATAGAGCCCCATGTTGGTCTCCATGCTGAGCATGGAGTCTGCTTGAGATTCCCTACCTCCCTCTGCCCTACCCACTGCTCATGCTCTCCATCTAAATAAATGAGAAATCTAAAAAATAAAATGAAATAAATGTGTATCACTTCACCCACAGAGTCATTATAGTAGTCTCTTCTCTGCCCTTCCAGGGAAAATAGATTAGAGATAGGCACCTGGGTGGCTCAGTCAGTTAAGTGGCTGCCTTCAGCTCTGGTCATGATCTCAGGGTCCTGGGATCAAGCCCCTTGTGTGGGGGTCCCTGCTCAGTGGAGAGCCTGCTTCTCTCCTTCTCCCCTTCAATTGTGCTCTCAAACAAAATCTTCAAAAACCCCAAAGAGAATATAGATGTACATCTGAGGAACATCTTCCTCACTTCAATAAATGTCGTAATATGAAATCCCAGGAGGAATCATGTACTCTTCCTTTACCCCAAACCATATATCCAGGAACTCCCAAATATGGGGAAGTGTGGGGTTCTGGTTTTCAAATTCAAGTGGTTAACAAGATTAATAAATATTTCTATTGTGATGTAATGCTTCCTAGCCATTTTAGAAATTAGATTGTCATCTGACTCACCCTAAATCTGACCCTGTCATTTGGGTCACATTAAATGTTCAGAGCTGTGCTTTAAACCACACATTTCTTGGTCTTCTGACTTAGATTTGTATGAATGAATGAATGGGGTAGTAAAGAAAATATTAGAGTGATAGGGTTGGCTCTACTGAGAAAACTGAAGGTGGGTAACAGATTGGAATCAAAGGAACACAATTTTATAGACTCACCCTAAATCTGACCCTGTCATTTGGGTCACATTACATGTTCAGAGCTGGGCTTTAAACCACACATTTCTTGCTCTTCTGACTTAGATTTGTTTGAATGAATGAATGGGGTAGTAAAGAAAATATTAGAGTGATAGGGTTGGCTCTACTGCGAAAACTGAAGGTGGGTAACAGATTAGAATCAAAGGAACACAATTTTATAGAGTAAATACAGTGTTTTCCCAGTTTATAAGATCCGCATATAATGTAGTGATTTCTGTTGTCAAATATGTCTCAGGATCATGAGGAAGCTATGTGAATTGGTTTAGGCTGTACGCCCAAGGAGACTACGTCTTTGTCAGGCAGGGTCCAAATAAGGTTCTGTGGAATCTGAAGCTTATACAATTTAGATGGCTTTCTTTTAAAATAATACAAAATCAATCATGATAATGAATATTTATTTAGAATGATAACATATAACAAGTGTTAAAATTATGACTACAACAGGCAAAAATTTCAAACAAATTATAATCTCTATATATATGTGTGTCTGTATGTTTCTTTTCACAGAAACACCACTTATGTAGCTGTACAATCTGAAATATGACAAAGTGACCATCCAAGGTGAAAGATATAATAGCTTTATTGCAAATCAAAACATCAAATTTGCAAATTTTACATAAACTTGCAGCCATGTGTACACATAACAAAAACCCAAGAGTGACACTTGTCTCACTAAGTAAAAATGCAGACAGTTTCATGTTAAGCCTTTAGCATTTATATTTATGTCAAGGTTTTAAAATAAAGTAGCTCTCCTAACATTTATTCTCACTGAAGTCTTGTTTCAAGTTAGAATAAACACTTCATTGGCTTCAAACATTAACTTTTAATTGTTTATTTTAAAATATATTCAGATAATTGTCAACTTTGGCCAAATGGAGGCCTTTTCTGTGACCCATTTCCAAATTCACAGATTCTGATCCATCTACTCTTTCTAGTAGCCTGGAATGACTCACCAGTTGGCGTTTATATTGTTGGAACCAACGTGAACTATTTTACGAATAAACCAGATGATAAAGATTGCTTGGTTTGAAACAAATGACTATGTATTCAGAGATACAAGACTCAGAACAAAGTGCTTGCATTTTCTATAGTTTATATTAAACTAGATGGCTCTTAAGCAATAGGTCTGGACTCATTCATCTAGAGTAGCAGGACTGTGAATACAGTGACTCTAGCTGCCTTCCACATGTGGTCAGAAGGCTATATTAAGATACTGTCACTGTTACTAATGAAGACAGCCAAAAGCCTCTTTTAAGAAACCATTCAGCTACTGAATAACAGACACTCTCATAAATGGAATTTCAGGGAAACATAAAATGAGCAATCCTGTTAAAGGCTGCCAAAATTATTTTCTGCATGCTGAGATGTTATTCACACACATATAGACTGCATGCAGTTAATCTATTTACTTTATTTTTGAATTAGACTTTTTTTTTTTTTGCAAAAGCAATTGCAGTTCGTTATAATATATAGCAAAGCATCTCTCTATCTTTGGTTCCATGTCTCAGAGTTTTTTTTTTCCAAAAATAAATAGGCATGGCAGGAAAAATAATTCAACTATCTTAAGAGAAAACCTAATATTTTATAAAAATTAAGCAAAAAATATATAAGTGATGTCCTTTAGACTATTTTCTAATTATCTCTCTTAATATCTAATACCAGTGCAATTTTAATATTAAACTGATTGTGCACACTGTATTTAACTATACAGCAGAGACACAAAAAAATGTCAAAAAACAAAACAGTACTTTCTCTTAAAAATAATTTAGGAATTATGTATTCTAAAAATGTATGGGAAAGTAGAACTGCTGATATATGTTAATAAAACTGACTTTGAAGAAACATAAGAAAAGGAAACAAAGATGTAGTAATAGTCGCAAATCTTAAAGATGGCAAAAAAAAAAAAGTGAACACAGTATCCAAACTCTCCCATTTCTGGAAAATATATGTTAGAACTGTTCAGCGACTTTTTAAAGCTAATATCTATGAAAGTTTCCTGTTATGGTTTGGACTCTCAAGAGATTTAATGAGCTTCATTTGTTAATGGTTTCCGTCTCTTTTCAAATAAGATTTTTGCATCAAATAATTCTCTTTCCCTACATCCTAGAGATGGTCCCTTTAGATACTTTGCTTCAGCTGCCTTATAATCTAATCCATCAACAGCAGAAATTGAACAAATGATTGCTTCTGGCAGAAGAACTTCCAGGATAAATTTAATTTTATCATCTCTTATCAGAGTCAGCATTTTTTCATCTATTTGTTTGTAGATTTCTTGTAAGTATTTCACAACCTCATCCAACTGATCTTCATCTTCAAAGTATGTTTCAATACAGGGAGTGAATCTATTTGCATTCAAAAATGACTTCAACCACCTGGACCCTTTCGTGCCTTTTAAAATGGCTAGAAGATGGTTCTCTGTTCCCTTTGCATTCACAATGAAGTCCACTAGGTTCTTGTTGGCTCGGTCCCGAGCAGCCTTCATTCGGTCAGGAAGAATTTTCTGGAAGGACATTTTCTTGGTCTGAGAAGTGACAACCATCTGTTCTGCAGAATTCTCATTATGCAACTTTGGAAATAAGTTCCTAAAGGTGTCCTGTTTTATTACTTTTCTAAGTGGATAACTAATATCAGCAGCATAATACTCAAGAAAAGAACCTGCAAAAGAACCACAACCTAGTCTAACTCTGTAGTCACAAATCAGTGAGATGCACCAGTCAATACTTTCACTGTATTCCTCCCTGGCTTTATCCACTAGTGCTTGTTTCTCTTTACAATCAAATTTCTTTAATCTTCTAAAAGGCACCCTAATGCCTCTCTTTTCAGGATTCATGCTTGCCTCAACAAAAAGCACACTTGCTTTTCTCTCTTTTCGCCGGATGCTTTTCACCACTGCTGGCCAAAATGGGTATTTTTGATATTTAAACCAGACTATCATTCCTGTTTCAAATGAACGAGGTTCATAATTAAAAACAAAGCGTGGAAGTTCTTCATCTTCCTCATTGTCATCTAATATGGAAGCATGAATAGGATTTAGCTGTGCTGACTTATCAGAAGCTTGAAGTTCTTCCCCAAGTTCTTCAAAATCCAGTCTCTGAAGATTTCTTTCATTATTCGTGAGAAGGAGTGAATAATCCAGGACACGGTTAGAGGCACTAAGTGAAACCTGACATTCCCATGAACAACGCCTGGGGGATGCTGCAGCACCTGTTTCTATTTCAACAGGTTGATTCTGGCTGGTACTTGAGCACGGATTTGAGGGACCCTCTCCTGGATCTTCAGTATTATCTGAGAAGGTAGAGCATTCAGAGGAAACAGCCAGGGTCTCTGGACAAATATCCTGTGCCTCCTCTTTCACAGCTTTGGGAACAATGAAGGTGTCTGATGACCAAGTTGGAGTGAACTTTTCATCTTTAACACATACGTCCTCTTCTTTGATTGTGGAATACAGAGGCATAACTGCCAAGATATCAATCTTTTTCTTGCTTTCTTTTTCATCCTCATATTCTGAAAGTGAAGGAAAAGTTTCATACCAGCTGGAGTTTTCTGATGACTTTGTTTCCATTTCATTTGCAAGAGTATCAATGGTTGCATGCACCTGTGATTTATCATCACACAGGGAATCATTATTCTCTAAATTAGCTACTGACAGGGATGTTGCATTTTCACTTTCCTCAAGACATTTTGAAAAGTCTCCATCTCCTTCATGCTTCCGATACTTTTTACGAGGGGGTGAATCAGAAAGATTTTGTGGATCATTTTGAGACAGAGTAAAGGTTGCTTCTTCATCTGAACTGCTTGCTTGGCTCAAATTTGTTTTTTCATTCAGAATATCCAGTGCCACTTTTAGTGACCTTTCATAGGCTGTTTCCTCTCTAGGTGGAGAACTGACTTCTGACTGTGCTGCTAGTGAGGAGGCAAGGGCTTCAATTTGAGATTTATTTAGAATCTTTGTTTCTGTGCTTTCCACTTTAATTTTTTCATCCAGTGAGAGTATTTGAACTTCTAGGGAAAATGTCTTTTTTCTCTTGCTGTTTGATGACATCTCAGATCTAGATAAAACTTTTGCTGGCCATAATTGGTCTTTCCAATTGCACAGGACATACTCGGCATCCATTATGATTTAGTGTGTGCCAAGAGGTTACTAGCAGAACTTGAGGTGTTTGGCTATTCTTGACACTATAAGGCAGTTTCTACCAAAAGCTATACTCTGATCAAAGCCTCTTTTGTCCCAGAACTACAAAGGGTACACAGCTTGTGTGGCCTGTTCTTCTCCAGCTGAATTTCCCAAGGATGCGTGAACACGTTGCTTGAATGGGACAATATGGATGATACTAGAATATGGAAAAGGAAAAGAAGAAAAGTATCAGAAAATAAAATTGTTTTGCCAAAGTAGAAGTGAGCAGCTGCAAACAAAGATGAGGTAAAAGAAAGAACAATGTTTGGTGAGGAGAAAAATGCAACATAATGTAAACTGGGGGAATGAGAAGTGGAGAAATGGTTTTATAATATCTCAAATTCAAGAACATGCCCTTGTTATTGCACATGAGTATTAAGGAGTAAATTTGTGTACATATTTCAGAGGTTAATGAGGCTGAAGTGGTGTGTCAGGGACTCTATGTTATTACATACCATGGGACTTTGGTGCCCCTTATATTATACCTAGGGCAGGGGGACTCTACACTAAGATAAAATCTCATCTGTAATTTAGATGTGTTTCTTTTTCTTCTTGTTCTTATTATTTTAAATTCTCTCTGTGTGATACTGTTAATCTGTTTGGTTCATGTTGAAATAATTGGTCTCAGGAAAACTGTGAGGTGGGGAGAAGAGGGAAAGGAAGTAACAATTACCCTGTGTCTACTATGCGTCAGACCGTAGAGCTTTGTTTGAATCTTCACATTGACCATTATGTGGATTTTTCCTTCTTTAAATATATAACTTTTTCAACAGAATTTTAATTACACTTGATATGCTGTCTCATAGTTCAGAAATACAAAATATGTTTCATTGCTTTGCCTACTTCATAAAAATGGTTGTCTGGAGAATTTCGGGAAACCTGGCAAGTGCCATCTTGTGACCAAAGCCAGAACTGCAGACTCCTCAAGAAGTACAGACAGTGCCGCAATCACTATCAGATCCTTCTCTAGAGAGGGTGGGAACGACATTTAGCCAGCTAGGAACTGTCTCAGGCTTCTATAATTTTTTGTTCTAGGCCCAAGGGTTTTGTTCTGTAGGATTATAACAAGATTATAATGTCTTCAATTACAATATTTCTGGCTATAAAACATCCAGAAGCTTATTAAAAACTGAAAAGATACAAAAAGATATATGCAAAATAAAGTACAGCTCTATACAAATATTCACTAGGAATATTTTCTATCTTTCCAGATTTTTTACGTGTATAAATGAATGCATATCACTTCAAACCATCATTAGATCTCAATTAAGAGAAGAGTCTGAACATCATTCTACACAAAAAAGTATTTTCCACATGATTTTGTATGAATTACTTTAAATGAGGCTTTTTCCCAGCTTTGCAACATTTTATGTCAATATTTTCCCTGATGATGTAAACCAAGTAAATGAATAAATATAATAATAACATCCTAACAGTATTTTAAATAGAGAGCCTGTCTCTCCAACCACACAAATAATCCCTTAATACCGTGACAGACATGTTTTTCTCAGCCTTGTTGCAAGTCCAGTAGTAGCATACATACCTGTCACTAACATACATATTTAATTTTAAGAGAGCTCATATGAAAAATACAATGCTATAATTTGCTTTGCTCATGTCATCCTATTTCTCAGACATTTCAAATCACTAGATGTAGAAGTTCATGTTTCTATTCCCCAGATACACAGTATTCTGTTGTATGATTAAATAAAGCTGGATAATCATTTTAAGAAGTGCTTATAGAAACAAACCACTCTTCCTCACTGTCAGACCACAGCCCTGTTGACCATAGCCATATCTGTGGTCTGGAAGAATGAGTTGCAAGGAGGACACATGCAGGACTGTAGCAGACACAGCAGCCAGGTTACATAGCTTCTGATCAGGTCTAGGAAAATTTCCCCTATCAGCAAAAAACAAGGTATGTTTGCATGTCTGCATGTGTCTATGAATTCTTATGTGTTTGAAACAAAATGGGTATGTTGTTTCAGCTTTTTCTTTCATGATTATAAAAATTATCATGGGAAATCTACTCTAAAGATGCTGAAACAGACTGAAAAATAACATTAAAATAGTAACCTGGCCACCCAGAAATGCTAACATCGTTTATTTTCTCCCAAATTTTCTTCTACTCACACATATATACATGCATGGGTATGTGCAAATGGCTTCACTCATCTACATACATGTTCCCCTTTCCATACTCATGTACAGATGACAAATACATAATCTTTCTATATGGCAATCCATTTAAAGTATTTTCCCCCAAGCTGTCAAATATTTTTATCTATCATGTTTTGTGTAGATTAATAAATACCTAAAAAGTCAAAGAATAACAGAATGTCTAACAATATAAACATGGACTATCAAGTCTATAAATTAACAATATAAACATGGAATATCAAGTCAATAAATTAGCATGAATGGCTATGCTGCACAGAAGCCTTAATATAGAGGCTGTAATCTGATCACCCCTTCTCTTACTGTGGACTTTTAAAGCATTGGGAGATAAAAAATTTCCAAAGGATCAATTCCTTCAAAACAACAGCAGTTCACTCAAAAGCATATACCCTCCCCACCACTCTAAGACCACCCTCCCTATTTTCCTCATCTTTACTCCAGGGTCCTGAAAAGTCCCTAGAAAATAACTAGCTTTCAGACAGCCATTACCTTGAAGCTTCTTGTCAGCTGCAGACTGGTGAAATGCAGCTCCTCCCCCAAGACTGGCCAGGCACAGCTTACTTCCAAGCTTCTCAAAGAATGCTCCGCCCCCTCCCTGTGATAGGAATGACAGAAGGCACCTCCCTGAATTAGAGAAGGGAGAATTGCCAAATTAAACTGCTGAAGTATGAAAGGGTAGAAATCGTTTATTTTCCCAAAAAGTTTAAAGTGAAATGGCAAGTGTCCATTTAATTTCCATTCAAGTCTGAGGGTGTGTGATATTTTGATAAAAAGAGGTTAGCAACCACTTTGTTAAAAAACAAAAGACTAGTTTAAAGTATTCCTAACATATTTTTTACCTTGCTTTTGCTGGCACCTTACCCTTACAGGTAAATTTTACAACCCAGCTGATAAACCTCCATTAAGATAGCTCATTTAGATTGTGACTGGGAATGCACTAAAATAGTACATATTTTAGAGAGAATGGTTTCTTTACAATTTTTTTTTTCAGTTTCTAGAACATGGCAAGTCTTTCATTTTATTCAGTTCTTCTGCTAAGTGCTTTAGGAAAGTTTCAGAGAATTCTTCGCAAACATGGCTACTTTTGACTAAAGTCAGAAAAATCCCTGGTTTGGCAGGAAAGTACCCACTTCAATACCTTCATCAATAATTGGAAATTCCTTCTTATATTTTGTTGGTATTTTTCACTCAGGCTATTCAATGTGGGGATAACTAAATTTTAAAAATTTACATGTCTTTATTTGTATGTCTGAAATGTATTTTGTAAATTTTGTTCATTAAAATTCTCCTGTGTTGAATTTAAATTTAGATTTCTGGTTTAACTTAGAAAGCCATTTTCTATATCATTAGTGATAATTTTGGGAATGAAGATATTTAAGGACAAAGTGTTTTATTTGGCCTCTGTATCATATAACATAGAACATACGTATTATAAAAATCCACTTTTATATAAGCTTTAATATTGAAAAATAAGTACCAATAAATTTATGAAGATCATCTCTAGACTGGCGTATTATTGAGGGCTCTAATAATTAGAGTATGTAATGTTCTGTACTATAAACAACCCCTAAATCTCAGAGGCTTAGCCACAGAAGTTTGTTTTCCTGATGTCAAAGTACAATGTAGGTGATCAAGTGTCTAGAATGGGAGGGATCACTCTTCCTAGCAGTCATTAAGAGATTCAAACTTCTTCCATCTATGACCGTACCATCTTCTTTAGCCTTGAAGTCCTCCACTGCATTTTTTGCACCTGGCTAACAATCTTATGAAGAGGGAGGCTGGAGAATCCTGTGGCAGGTTTTAGGGGTAGGGCTAGCAAACATCACTGCTGGTCACAGTGAACTAGATAAAACAGCCATAGAGGCCAGGGAAAGAAGTCTCACTGTGACCCAGGAGGAAAATGAAAGAGTTTGGTGAACCCCATAGCATTCTTTCTGCCACAAGTTTTCCCTTTCAATCTTTTATAGATTTCCTTTGTTTGTAAAAAATATTTTTTTACAACCATGTATCGTACTTATAATGACTGGGACAGAAACTTCTTGTTTCTCACGCTAAGTCTACTGTTTGCATTCATCCTCATTTGCAGAACCCCAGTTGCATTCAGGATGCAGTGTAAACTCTTAAAATATTACTTTTCCAAGATTCCCTTACTATATAAGCTACTGTCATATGACAAAATTTCTTGCCAAAGAATGTATGCAGAAATATTTGTAAAGGTTCTAGAGAAAGTACCTCCAAATGCAGTAAAGAGCCAACTAAGGCTTTTTTCACTTTCCCTCTTTCTCTTGCTTCCCCCTTAGAAGCTGACCATGATAGAATTCAAATAGTCATTCTGGACCAAATTACTTAGAAAAAGAATGCAACTCACTAGGGATGGAAGATCCTGAACCCCTGAATAATGGGGCCTGCTCCTTGCAAACACTTTAACTCAGTGACACAATAAACTCCATCTTATCTAAGTCACTGTTTTCCAGTCTCTCTTTCTAGTAGTAGAACAAAATAGTCGATCTTGCAAATATTAACAAAAGTAGTATCATTTGTATTACAGAATTAATCTTTTCAAAGCTTTCAAAGTATTACTATATAATTTAAAGAGGATTATCAGGTCAATGTAAATATGTCTTTATTTAAATAAAGAGATATATTCAATTATATGTTTTATAATGAAATATTTCTTATTCTGTCTTCTCATTTCACATGTTTGGAAAAAGAAACAAATGCAAATCAAGTACGGACATTACATCAAAACCATAATTTCTTTCATTTGTTTATTTTCTATATTGCACATATATCAGGAAATGCTATGCTAACTTACTATTTTCCAAACAAAATGCAAAGGAGAAAAAAAATTCCCTGGATTATATTTTGTATTTCATTGCTCTGTAGAAATAAGGGGAGAAGAATGATAACCAATAATAATAAAGCCTGTTATTACTACTATTATAATGAAGATAGATACTAATTATAGATCTAATAGTATCTAAACCTGTTCCCAACACTTGACACATTATCTCATTTAATAATTAGATAGTTATTTCATGGAAGAGAGTCCCATAACCAATTCATTTTTGCATAGCAACAGTAGTATTATTCATAATAATGACAAAGATTGTAGAAGCCAAAAGTGTTTCTAACCATGTGCCATATGCTCTGCCAGGATCTCTGTATACACCATCTCCGTTGATCCATGAACTCTTGTTAAGTGGGTATTACGAGTACTCCCATTTCAGAGGTAAGGCTTTAGAGGTTAATGGACATTTACCAGCATATCTAGAGAGCATGTGGTGCACAGAACTTTAATCCAAGTACTTTGACTTCAGGATCCATGCTCTTAATCACTAAGATACACTGTATCCACCTCATTGCAAATAAAAAGTGCTCTGTAAATGTACCTGGATGAATAGGTGAGTTAATTAATGAATTTGAAATGGTTATGTAATGGGAGTCATGGAACTTAAAATTCCGTACCTGGTTCTGCATCTAATTTAACATAAAATTATCTTATACAACCTAATATAATCATGAGAATGAGTGACATACCATCATGTTTGCTGAAGTCTATTGATTAGAAACAAGTCACAGGATCTATCCACACTTCTCAAGAGGGTGAATTACAGAAGGAGGTGGGCCACCTTGGTTGTGTCTGCCACAATACTGTATGATTCCATTTATAGACATTTACAAAAAGAGAAAAGTATAATGATGACCATATGATCATTGGCTGTCAGGAATTACAGATGGGGGAGGGTGTGGCAATATACAAGAACAGCACAGAAAGTTGTGGGGTGATGAAACTCTTCTGTATTCTGACTGTGGTACTCATTATATGAATCTATACATGTGTAAAATCCAAAGAAGTGTATACAAAGAAGTCATGTATTACATATGATACTATAAAATGATTTTAACTAATAATGATTTTAAAAAATAAATTTAAGTAGAAACATTTCATAAACATTATATAAAAATCCATTCTTTATGAATATGCTTTAGAAACCATCTGCTTCTTTCTAAAGCATATTTAATAACAAAGAAAACAAAAATAACCCATACATAACATTATTAGAAAGTATCACTTCCACTTCCACTTAGGATATGAAAAAGCATAAGAGAACGTCACCGATAAATAAACAATGATAAAAATCTAGATAATCTACAAAACTGTAACATTCCTTGAGCCCATCAGAGAACTCTGGTAAACTGACTTACAAAGGGTGACCAGCCCCATTAAAGAAGGACACATGTGGGGTGCCTGGGTGGCTCAGTGGGTTAAGCCTCTGCCTTCAGCTCAGGTCAAGATCTTGGGGTCCTGGGATCGAGCCCCGCATCAGGCTCTCTGCTCAGCGGGGAGCCTGCTTCCTCCTCTCTCTCTCTGCCTGCCTCTCTGCCTGCTTGTGAGCTCTGTCTGTCAAATAAATAAAATCTTTAAGGGGCGCCTGGGTGGCTCAGTGGGTTAAGCCGCTGCCTTCGGCTCAGGTCATGATCTCAGGGTCCTGGGATCGAGTCCCGCATCGGGCTCTCTGCTCGGCAGGGAGCCTGCTTCCCTCTCTCTCTCTCTCTCTCTCTGCCTGCCTCTCTGTCTACTTGTGATCTCTCTCTGTCAAATAAATAAATAAAATCTTAAAAAAAAATAAAAAAAAAAGAAGGACACATGTACTGCTTCACTTCTGGCAAAGCATGGGGCAGAGATGGCTGTCATGCAAGCAGGTAAAAAGAAATCAGCTGAAATTTTAATGAATTCTTAAATTCTTAATGGGCTAGTATAGTTTGGAATACCTGGCATCCCAGATACTTACACACTCACTCACTGCCAAGTTCTTTTTCAGTCCTTAACCAGAAACACACAACTAGGGCCAAAGCAGGAGATCAAAAAGAGCCCATATCAGTGGTTGAGGTATGTAGAGAGCAAAAAGCTATTGCTGGCAGACAGACACACAGCACCATACACTTATCCAAACCCTTCAATTATGAAAAGCAAAAGCCTTAAGTCACCAGAAGAGAAGAAACAAACCTTTCCCTCCTGGGTACAGGTAAAAAGCCACTGCTTCTGGGGGAAGAGTAGAAGCAAAACCCACATATCCAGGAAGGGGGAGACAGGAAACCTTCCTATCCCCAGGACAAAAGCAAAGATCCTTTGCTGCTGGAGGGGTAGGGAGTGAAGTAGAAGTAAAAAACCTCTGCCCCATGCCCCATGCTAAAAGACGTCAAAAGAAAGTTGGGGTAGCAATTCTCATATCAGACAAATTAGATTTTAAGCTAAATAATGTAGAGATACAGAAGGACACTATACCATTCTTAAAGGGTCTATCCAACAAGAAGATCTAACACGTGTAAATATCTATGCCCCCAACATGGGAATAGCCAACTACATAAGCCAACTGTGAACAAAAATAAAGAGACATATTGATAAGAATACATTAATAGGAGACCTCATCATGCCACTCTCAGCAATAGATCAACTAAGCAAAAAATCAACAAAGAAATAAGAGTTTTGAATGACACACTGGACCA